CATGGGGCCTTGTTGAAGTTTAGGTGAGGAGTGTTTGCCAGGAAACAGTGATACAGCCCTCAGTGTGAGCGGTGTAGCTAAACCTCCAGCCCATCCAGGACCCATCCTCTCCTCACTCATCCCATGGCGTCCCCAGGCATTCTGGCTTATTTTGCAGGATCAGGGAACAGTTGCTCAGTGAAAGAGAGAGACTGTGTGATCTACCCTGGTGCCAAAAATCTATCATGCCAATAAACGCTGTTCATAACCAGATTTTAATTTTATGTTCAGTGACTGCAGCATATGTTTACATATGTTTGCTTATGTTCTCATGTCAGTGTGGCATCTAGACTATACCAATCCTCACTTACTCTTCAATTACAGGAGCTTAGTGCCCATTAAAATGTATTCACACACTCAAGCTGCACATGCAGCTACCGTGAGGACTCGCATGTCTGTGTGTGACTGTGACTCATTTTCCACAGCCTACATGACCCTATCCTAACCTTTGGGCATGGACTGTGAGGATTACCAACTCTAAGGTTATGACTGGCACCTCTTTATCCACCTGTTTAAACTGCTGTTTGTGCCACATATACATACATCCACCAACTCATTAATTAGGATGAATAATTAAAAGGTCCCATGTAAGCCATTTCTTGAGAAACACAATCTTTACCACATGTAGGCCTTGCAGATTCTCCAGCTGGCTTTTGCTGGTTTTAAGAGATCACAACTGACTGTGCATCTCCAGTCTGCTAATGGCTACACATATCCAAGAGCTTTGCTGTATATTGTGTGCAGACATTACAACATCCTATTTTTATGCATTTTCAGATCTGATTAGTCATCATAACCAGGTTGGTATATACTACATTAACACCAATGAAAAAATGTAAATAAATAAATAAATCAAATTATTTTGGCTCAGCAAAGATTCCTATAGTGATTAATGAGCAAAACAGAGAGCTGTGGATTCCTAGAGTCCAAAGGCTGAAGCTCTAGAAATCCCCTCGTACCTTGACTGAATATTAGTGTTGCTGTTTTGATGAGAGTGAGTCAGTACTGCTGCTTGCCATCTGTCAGGCCAAGTGATTTTCTACTTCATGAGGCACAGCCAGCTGTTTGCTGGTTTCTGTGTATAGGTGGGGGATGGAACACTGAGAGCACACTGTTTTGCGAGGACCGAAAGTCACTTGTGGGGACCATTGGCTGGGCCCCACAACTAATTTGTCGAATTTTACAAAAATGCCAGCTTTGTTTAAGGTTAGGGTAAGTCTCCTGGAAATGATCACAAGTCTGTTTATGGATCCTGTAAATGACAACCACAAGGGTGTGTGTGTGTGTGTGTTGATGCACTGACACTGCTTACAGAATCAAATACTCTATATCCATGGTCAATTGTACATTTTGCATTACATACTGGATTCTGACTGCAGTAAAAAATACTCTAAACAATGTTTGCACACATCCTTTATACAACACCAGTCAAATGTTTGGATACACTTTCCCATCAAACACAATGGGAAAGTGTATCCAAACTGGTGGTGTATACCAGTATGAATCAGTGCTCTTCGTCCCTCTAGGCTCTGCATGGTTGTGTATATGTAATGTTGTTTGAAATGCTTTAAAGTAAGTTCTCAGGGTGTGTAGATATCCAGATTTATGAAGAAATACCCATGTTAGGTGCATTGGTTAGTGCTGTTGCCTCACAGTAAGAAGGTTCATGGTTTGAGCCCAGGCTGACCCGGTGCTTTCTGTGTGGAGTTTCCATGTTCTTCTTGTGCCTGCGTGGGTTCTCTCCAGACACTCGGGCTTTCTCCCGCAGTCCAAAGACATGTAGTTTAGGTTAATTGGCGACTTTAAACTTCCCATATGAGTGAGTGTGGAAGTGTCAGCCCTGTGATAGACTGGTGGACCCCACCTCTCACCCAATGTCAGCTGGGATTGGCTCCAATTTTCTCAAAAATAGTTGTCCAGTTCACATGGCTTTTCTACAGCAGTACAGATTCTCACTGTTTTTAAACTACCACAGTGCTTGTTCCTCAACCATCTGAGGTTGTTCTTTTAAGATTGACTGAATAACAGCCTGCAGTCCAGTGCTGCTATGTGCAGTAGGTAGAGGGTGGGAATGAGACGCTGAGGCACACAGGATAAGAGATGACACATGATGAGGAAGTAATGCTTGATACAGGTATTAAACATGGAATTGTCAGTTCCAGGTTAGGTCTTCATAAAGACTTTCTTCAGTCTCCTGCTGACTGCATTAGAAATAAATACTATTCTCCTTTAGCATGCCAGGTGGCTCACATTCACAACACACCTAATGTTGTGTATTAGGTTTACAGGGTCCATAAACCATCCTAGGATAAACCTAAATATGCCAATACATGAGCACAGTGCAGTGTGTGAAGGCATTGTGTTGTTAGATATTTGCATGTTCCTAAGCCGAGTGTCTCATTTATTAAGATATTATATAAAACTTATCATAGGTGCTGTGAAAGGTCTTCTGAGGAAACAAAATGCTGGATATGATTTTATAGCCGTAATAGTGAGCAGATTAGATACACTGGCAACAAGAGTGGATGTTAAAGTGTTGGGAGGGGTCAGGATTATGTATCTTTCACTCTGTCCAACATTAAATCTATTTGTCTGCTTCTGTCTCTCAAATCTGGCTGCCAGAGACCCCTGCCTCATTCGGGGGTGTGTCACAGATAGTACTGTTTTTATTATAAACCACAGCAGAGAAGTGCATATACAACAAGAAAAGGAAGGCCACTACTTCAGACAGAGGTATGTGTCACACAGCGTATTAATTTTTTTTTTTTTTACTTTTTACTTTTTCAATAAATGAGAAGAATAAGAGGAGTGAAGTAATTTATCACTCAAATATTTCAGATGACAAAAATATATCAACTTGCATGCTTCATATATGGGCTGAAATCTAGCTGAATGTGTTGCGCACCTGAGGCCACCCAAAGGATCCCCAATAACGCTAATGTTTGTTACCACACAATACCACACGAATTGTGACTGTAATAGAATTGTGTAGTTTCATAAACTCTGCAGAGATTTTCAGTGAAGCAGATGCACAGAGAGCAGAATGCTTTGCCATGTTGACCCACATGCAGAGTATCATCAAAGTCGGTATTGCCATTTGGTAAAATAATTCACTTCAAACCATGAATATCAGCCTCATGGTGGCACAAAAGAAGAGGTTAGAGAATGGCCAAGTTCATAGGATAAATCATCTGAGAACCACCAATGTCTGTACAAAGGTTCATGTGCATCTAGTGGATATTTCACAAGATAAATGATAACCTTGACCAGCTGGTGAAATAGAAGAAAAGTTCAGGAAATCACCAGAGTCATTAAGATCAGTCCTCTGGGGATCATGAATGTCTGTACAAACTTTTTATCACAACGCAACTGATAGTTTTTGAGCTGTGGGCACAAGGACACTTCGACAGGTGGACTGCAGGCACCGAGACCCGAACCTTCAACCTTCTGGTTGAGAGACGACTGCTCTATCCACTGCACCACTGTCACCTCCCCAACTGAAGACATTTTAAACATAAAACCATGAAATGCAGCAGCACTGTACTGACACTCACGTCACACAAATGTTTGACTGAAACGTTCATTTGAACTGTATTTAGTACTCATGGAGAGATCCTCCAGGGTTCGCCGATGGAAGAATCCTAGAAAGCAGAGTGACGCAAATAAAGCAAATGGAAAACTACAGGTGAAGCAGGATGGAGGTAAATGCAAAGTGAACAGTCATGTCATTTCAGAAGGGTTTGTCAAGTGAAATCTCAAACTGAATTCTGCACTACTGTCACTAGCCTAGTTTGTGTATGGGAGAGGACATAGTGATGAACAGATCTGTTATGCTGTTCAGAACTATAGGTCTGCATAACTGTAACCTGCTTCATCTTACTCTGTAGCAATGAAGAAACAAAACATGGTGATAGCAGAAGGTCTGGACAAGAGGAACATCCAGGAGCCGCGCATTTACTATGCACTGCAAGAGGAGTCATTTTATTTTGCTGGTCATCACATAAGCATTCGCGAGTCTATTGATACTTGCGGTGCCCTGATCTCTCCTGGGGTATGCCTTACTATGGTGGTGTGTTAATGTAGATGTACATGACTTGGTTCTTACCAGCCCAGTAATGAGAATTTGTTCTGCAGGCAGTTGCTTTATGTCAGTTCTTGGAGAATAACCAGCAAGAAGTGAACCTGAAGGATAAAGCCGTGTTGGAGATCGGAGCTGGGACTGGTATACTCTCCATAGTAGCATGCCTGCTCGGTAAGGAAGCCCATTTGCACTTTACACAATTGTGTATGCATGAAAAACTTTATCCACAAGTCTTGACACTTTAGTCCTAAGTAATGACATAACTCATTGCAGCCTTTTTAAAAAAAATCAAATCTCAGTACATGTCAATAAATATTAAAAAATAATTTATTAAATTAATTACTGAATTATTAATCATGACATCTTTATGGAAGATGCCATTTTGTGTTACCTTTTGTGTTAGGCCATACTAAGGAAGAGCCATAAGGGACTTATTCCCTCTGGTGTATAAATACACATTAAGTATTTTGTGAATATCTGCTCAGCCACCAAATCAACATCTCAGTCTGGTGGTGGAAGCCAAGGAAACTGAGGGTCAAAAAACACACTGGGGATTAATTGTCTGAGCACCATGGCATTCCTCCTATGCCAAATGTCTAGCATTGCAAAGGAACAAAGTGGCCATTGGTCTGATAATGTCAACCTTTGTTGTTAAAGAACACGCCATCACAAAGTCTGCAACACACTTCCAAAAGAGCTGGAACAGGGGCAACAAAAGACTGGGAAAGTTGAGGGCTGCTCAAAAAACACCTGTTTGGAAAATTCCACAGGTGAGCATCGTGATTGGGTATAAAAGGAGCATCCCAAAAGGCTCAGTCATTCACAAGCAAGGATGGGGCACAGTTCACCACTTTGTGAACAACTGCGTGAGAAAATAGTCCAACAGTTTAAGAACAATGTTTCTCAATGTACAATTGCAAGGAATTTAGGTATTTCATCATCCACAGTTCATTATATCATTAAAAGATTCAAAGAGTCCAAAGAAATCTCTGTATGTAAGCAGCAAGGCCGTAAACCAACACTGAATGCCCATGACCTTCGATCCCTCAGGCGGCACTGCATTAAAAACAGACGTCATTCTGTAAAGGATATGACCACATGGGCTCTGGAACACTTCAGAAAACCACTGTCACTTAACACAGTTCACCGCAACATCTATAAGTGCAAGTTAAAACTCTATCATGCAAAGCAAAGGCCATACATCAACAACGCCCAGAAACGCCACCAGCTTCTCTGGCCCCAAACTCATCTGAGATGGACTGATGTAAAGTGGCAAAGTGTGGTGTGGGCTGATGAGTTCACATTTGAAATTGTTTTTGGAAATCATGGACACCGTGTCCTCTGGGCTAAAGAGGGAAAGGACCATCCAGACTGTTATCAGCGCAAGGTTCAAAAGCCAGCATCTGTGATGGTATGGGGGCATATTAGTGCCCATGGCGTGGGTAACTTGCACATCTGTGAAGGCACCATTAATGCTGAAAACTACATACAGGTTTCAGAGCAAAATATGCTGCCATTCAAGCGACATCTTTTTTCAGGGACGTCCCGGCTTATTTCAGCAAGACACATTGTGCACGTTACAACAGTATGGCTTCATAGTAATAGAGTGCGGGTACTAGACTGGCCTGCCTGCAGTCCAGACCTGTCTCCCATTGAAAATGTGTGGCGCATTATGAAGCGCAAAATACGACAACGCAAACCCTGGACTGTTGAGCAACTGAAGTTGCACATCAAGCAAGAATGGGAAAGAATTCCACCTACAAAGCTTCAATAATTAGTGTTCTCAGTTCCCAAACGCTTATTAAGTGTTGTTAAAAGGAAAGGTAATGTAACATAGTGGTAAAAATACCCCTGTTCCAGCTCTTTTGGAACATGTTGCAGGCATCAAATTCAAAATGAGTTAATATTTGCAAAAAACAATAAAGTTTATCAGTTTGAACATTAAATAGTATCTTGTCTTTGTGGTGTATTCAATTAAATATGGTTCAAAAAGGATTTGCAAGTCATTGTATTCTGCTTTTATTTATGTTTTACACAATGTCCCAACTTCATTGGATTTTTTCGGTTTGTAAGTACCAGCTTTCTGATCATATAAGCCACAGCACAATGAGATACAAAGGGCCACTAAATTCACCAAAGTTGGTAACGTCCTTTCAGAGTGTTTGTCTCAAGGTATTCCTGTGTGAACCTCAGCAGCTTTGTTTTTCCATTCTCTTTTCCAGGGGCTTGGGTGACAGCTACTGACCTGCCAGACATCTTGCCTAATCTGACCTTCAACCTAATGCGAAACACCAAAGGCCACTCCCGCTACACCCCTCAGGTTACTGCACTCACCTGGGGTCAAGCCCTGGAGCGAGACTTTTCCTACTCATCCTATCACTACGACTACGTGCTCGCAGCAGAGGTCGTCTATCACCACGAATGCCTTGATAAACTACTGGAAACAATGCGTCATTTCTGCCGACCAGGAAGTCAAACAATACTGCTCTGGGCCAACAAGATCCGGTTCCAGTCAGATGTGAAGTTTACAGAGTGCTTTAAGAGTAGTTTTAACACCACGCTGCTCAGTGAGCTCCCACAGCAGGAGGTGAGGATATACAAGGCCACAGGGAAGGAGTGACAGAGAAAGAAGAAGTTAAAAGTGTTGTGTTGAATCTGCAGACATTTCTCATATATATAAAAAAACAAACAAAAAAAACAGGAAATTCCATTTTCCACTTGCTGCTTTAAATCAAGAGCAAAGTCTGGTTTGGATCTGTGTTTACATGATAAGCAGTGCCACAACAGTTGTCAAGAATAGGCAAAAATGAAGTTCCTGTCTAAAAATTTGCATTTGAGTCATTATACCACATGTTCTAACGAACTGAAATGAGTCTTTATATTGTATAACTGATGTATTCTCAAGGTATTTCAGTGACTATGTCATGCAGCACATTGATGACTTGTGCTGCTCTAGTATGGACTCCCTGCGGAGGTCATTAGGGATGCTACCTTAAGGACCCCAAACATTGAGCTCTGCATATATGCCCATTTCAATCGTCTCCTCTTGCCAAGGGATGGGGATATTGCCTGAAGCAAACTCATCAAAAAAGCTCTTGTCAGGATCCTCCAGTGTTACTCCGCTTGACCAAGGAGAAGGCTCCAACATCGTCCAGCCTTTTAGCATAGACCACTTTAGGGTCAGGGACAGAAGGAGGAAGTAAAACACCTGAGTGGTGAGATGTGGGAAATAAAAAACATTTCCAAGGTCTGAAGAAATTTGAAATAAGATCTATTTTGGACAAGGCAGTAAATCACGGCAATACATATTCTGTGTTCCAGGAGTTGTAAATGACAGTAAACAAGACAGTAAAAGTACAAAACAGATGGTACCTGCATTCAATTTCCTCCAGTTGATGTTACTGAAAAATGGGTGAGCTCTGATCTCATCTCAGCATCCATTTTTAAAACCCAGCCTCTGTTCAACCGCTCTGGCCAGCAGCCCCTCACAAAGTGACTTTGCATGCTCACTGAAATTGTCTGGATAGGCCACGTGTCAGCACATGCTCTTACATCTCCTCACGCTCAACCTGAAGAAGAGATAAACATCGTCTCATTTATTTCACACAGTCACACTCATTTTTGTGCAAATGGTAAATTAAGTTCATAGCTAAATAAAATACATCTGACTTTCTCCCAACTGTTTCTAAATGGGTTCTTAGCAGCAATGAACTCAAACAACGTCACCCCCAGAGTGTAGTAGTCGACCGATACGTCATAGTTTTCTCCTTTGAGCATCTCTGGAGACATGTACCCTATAGGAAACAAAGTAATGCCACAGCAAGAATAGTTCTGACAAAGTACAAAAACTCTACGAAACTGCTCGCTAACTGATCGGTAGATATAAATGAAATCCACTTGGTGTTCCAGTATAGCCTTTGGTCTTCGTTTTGCCTTCTTTTAGCTCTACAGCAAGACCCAGGTCAGATATAGGCACATTACCTGGTTGACAACATAAATCTCATTTAGCTGTTAAACAGACTAGCATTTTATAAATTTATTTTAAAAATGATTACCTTTGTTATCTAAAAGAAAAGTTTCGGTTTGAGGTCTCTGTAGATGATTCTTTTTTTGGTGGAGGTGCTCCAAGCCTTGGATGATCTGAACGATATAAAAACAGGGTCTGGGCTCGTCAAACCCCGGGTTGTTTTCATCCACCAGGTAGATATGGTACCTTAAGGGTAGACAGAACAGGTAAATTTTGGCTCTGTCATACTATAACTTATACATGGAATTTGTGTCAAACATAAAACAGTTTAGAGGAAAAAATAACGAAATGTGCACATTATTACATGTAATGACAGTGTGATTACAAACCAACAGTAATGAATGCATTGGAGTATTTTAGCCAATTTTATCCACAGCTTATTCCATAGCTGACAATGTGAGAAAACAACCTTCTCACATCAGTCTTTTGCTCAACTGCACACTGTCTGTTGACAAGGATGTTTAAAAAAAAGAAAAGGTTCTGTAAAAAAAAAGTAGGTTCTATATGACATGGGCTGTACATAAAGTCACAACATAGCTGTATGAGTGCAGAGTACATGTTTTAACTGTTCCCTTAATAAGCCAACATGTTCATGTTTGTGCTTTCAGACATGAGCTTTAAAGAATGCGAAGATCTCCTCCATTCATGATGGTTATGATCAGACAAAGCTCATTCTTTGTCTGGAAGGCATAAGCCAACGACACAATGAGGCAACTGTGAACCTTATCAAGAATCCTCTTCTCCACCACTGCCCCCTACAGGAGACAATTAGGTTTGCACTTCTGCAGCCTGCTCAATGCAGGGCACTTTCTCCCAACATAAAGCCAGTGAAACACCAGTATTAATCAAATCACTACATCAGTTAAATGACATTTCTTTTAAATCTCATGCTAGGAAACAGCATTGCAATCATATGATTGTACTTTTTAAAAATCGAGGCTTCTTAAGTACAGTGGCCACCCTGTACATCTTAACCAGCAACATTAGCAGATGGACATCTTTCACAGAAAGATATACATTTTTCAAAATAAATTAAAGGCACCAGTGTCAGACAATGAGAAATACTGCATGTGTTTGATTTAGGGTCTGACTAGTTGGCTATGTTAAGCATGTCTGGGCACAGGTAATAAAAACAGCATGAGAAATGTAGTCCTCCTTTACAAACACTAGAACTATTAGAATTAAAGGCTGACAGCCACAAAGCCATGCTAATGGTATGTGAACAAAAGAGCATGTTATCAGGAATGACATTTGTTTTCTCACCTCAAAGCCTTCCCTATTCTTCAGCCTCTTCTTGTTGAGTTTCTTACCAGCATAAAGTTTCCATGTGAATTTCATCTGACAGGCTGACACCTCCCCAAACCCGCCTCTCCCCAGCACATGAAAGTCTAGGAACCAGTCTGCATCCATGGGCTGCATCTCAAGCCACTTCCACTGCAGGAACCTCTTCAGGTACATGCTCTCCAAGAAGAAAATGTAGGGGGCCTCCCGCAGAAAGCCCAAAGTTATGGCCAATGCTGCAGCAAATAAATGATCCCCTACAGTCTCGTGGCTTTCCTTTACTTTAGTTTTAATGTCCTCAGACAGGAACGGGCAGTAGTATTTGGCAGAGGGGTCCATAAAATGTTGAATAACCTTTGAGGCCTTCTTTGCCCTATCAGAATCCTCAGCCAGGTCATAATCCTCAATGTCTTTCCACAATCAGCAGGCACCATGATACTCTTCATTTGCATCCAGGAATTCCCTAAAAAGGCACTTACCAATAAGCTGTTCAACGCAGATGGAGTCAAAAGCCAAATCCAGGGTCTCCCTCAGGCCCTCGCACACAGTGATGTGGGTCAATTTGAGGCGCAAGTGGCACTACTTAAACTGAATTGCTGCTGCATTAGAGCTATCAATGCTCCCATGGGCATTGATGTAAGCAGAATTTGTCCTCCAATATCCATGTTGAGGCCAGTTGACCGTTAGGCAATGCAAAGAGGGGGCATTGCAAAAAGACACAGGATAAATGCCTCTAACTAATGTGCACAGTTAATGCCTTTAGGTAATCCACTAACACTCTGATGCCCCAAAGTGTGTGAACACATGCTAGGAGAGAACACAGTCAGCATTTGCAGCTGCAGGGTCACCAGTCACCCAAATTACTGCAATGAGACATCCATATCCATGGAAACTGGTCATGTAGTCGCTGCATGTTAAAAGCTAGGATTTGGAAACGCAGGTGAACACAGTACACTGGAATAATGTTTTATTTCTACAAGGACATGGCAGTTCATAATTTATAAAACAAGCTCTACTAAATTCTCAAAATAAAAAGTAGGATAGCCCCCCACCCCAAAATCTGTCTGTAATCATTCCTCCTGTCCATACTGACTGTAAAGCAAATTCAATGCAAATGATGGGATACAATAAAAGTCCAGTCTCAAGTTCTGCTAAAGGCAATATGATCAGTAGTCTGATCAATGATGAATTGTGTGGGCAACTTTCAAAGTTAGTCTTTTTGAACGCAGATTACTGCCTTAAGATGGCTACTTGAGGAGGATACCCACTTGACTTACTTAAGTGACCATGAAAGCCTCATTAAACTTAATGATTTAAGAGAATCGGGACGGTGTATTGTGCCAATATCACTTACACTGAAGCTCCTCCGGGAAGTTGGTATGGATGGAAGAATGATTAGTGACCAGGAGAACTTTCAATTACATATGGGCACGTAAATATTTAAAATACTTCACTAATTTAGTAATGTACTCTTAACATTGTCAAAGTACTAAAGGGGAGAAATTAGAAGATCCAGAAGTACCTTTTGTTACTCTACACATTCTTGTCAAACCCCAGCACCTAGATTACCCACAATGCAATTTAACTTCCTAATATTCTGACCACCTCATCTATGTAGCTGTGGAGGACAAAAATAGACACCTCTAAATATAATGCTGTCCAGCATAACACCACCATTAACTGTGTCCCCCCCAATAATAAACAATTTAATTTATATATTTCAGAATTTCACCAAAAACTGAAATTGTTGAGCTTCATAAACAAATGTTGAGGTGGAAGTGTTGCAATGAATTGCACCCAATTGTACAGGTGTACCTAATAAAGTGGCCAGTGACTGTACTTGGCCAATAAAGATGATTGTGATTCTAAAAGGAGTCAAACTATTAAAACCTCTTTAAAACCTCTCCATTCCTTCACCAGCTGCTTTAAAAGATGACTGACTGGGGAATGCAGCCGTGTGACAACTTGCATGATGCCTGAGTGGTAAAGAAAAATCTTATGAGATATGACTAAGGTGTGCCTGTCTGCCTACTGCTCAAATTCCAAACAAGTCAATGTTGTTCCAGGCCTCACAAATAATAGGTCTGTATTTTGTTGCAGCAACAGCCTTGCATAAATTATAGATGCAAATGTATTAAAACAATCTATATTTAATTTGAAAACTTATATTAGATTACAGAAAAGGTATTTGGAAGAGTCAGTACAGGTTTCTCTTATTTCAAAAGGGGAGATCCTTGAAGGGATTACATCAAGACCTATACAACAACACACTGTTACATTAGTTATTCTTTAAAGTCTAACCACTGGCTTCTAAAGGATACTATAAGCTACAATCATAGGATTCATATATGTAATTACCAAACAAAGCTTATTTACCTATGAGGAGCCTGGGTTATGAGAGTCCTTACCTTGCTGGTGCCATTATTCTGTAAACACTATAAAGGCGTGAACAGGGCGGTGATGCTGAATTCCCCAACTCTGGCAATACAAAAAAATTCCAAAAAAAAAGAAAAAGATCAGAAAAGCAGCTGCCTACAGAACAGAAGGAAGCCAGCCCAACACAAAATATGAATAAAAAACTATTTCAAATTATTGCCCAGAACACAAAAATTAACACATCCGACAGAGCCATAGCAACTGTAATTAGGCCTTTCAAAAACCATGGTGTGGCACTAAAACAGACACTTCGGCCATCTTGAACCTTTTGATCATTATGTCTGCCGCATGTCTTTGCAAAATAACAGGATTAACTATTCAAACAAGCACATTATATTCCAACAGCAGTGGGTTTTACAGAGGGTATTTTAGTCAGATGGCTTATTGAGAAGTGGAACAGACATACAAAGACTTCGGTGTGGTTGGGCCACAAATCACAGTTCCAGTGGGTAACACCTACCCTAGAGCTGTGGTTCAGGTGCATGTGATTCAGGAGCAGGGAAAGATGGGCGCATATACATCGCTATTCTTTCAATATTCATCTACACCCCTGAGTAGACCAGAGAGAAATACAGGCAAGGGGAATGGAGGAAAGGTGGGGGGGGACCACACACACACAAAAGGAGACTAAATTCCCACATTGGTGGTATGAAGAACTGTGCTTGTTAGAGATGCAAGGCGTAGACAGCTTAGTCTTCATCGTCATTCTCATCGTACTCATCTTCATCGTCATCGTCCCCCATGTACGACACTGGAGTCTCCACACGAGACCCACTGTAGTGAGAGTCATTCGAGCTGGAGGCCATGGTGCCATCAGTGCACCCATCACTACAAGAAGAGGATTTAATTGTTCAATTCTGAAAGATGTTAATGTTGGACAATGTGAGAGCAGGGGGATGAGCAGAAGAACATCCACTTTCTGTCACATTTGTGGGTTGTATTACAGATAAGTGTCTTCTCACCTGCTTGCAGGGTAACGGGCTCCATTAGCAGAGGATCCTCCAGTGATGTAGACGTTACTGATGGGACCCTTTGCCATCTCTGGAAAAAAGAAAAACATTAACATGAAATAAATTACTGGTGATTCCCGAATTCATCACACCACCGCTACAGTGAAGACCCACTGAATTAAACACGACACTACAGCCCCTTTGTAACTTCACTCTCACCACTGGTTGCACATCAGCACCAACAAGGCTTGCTCAATAAGGAAACTACAACTTTCTCCAGCAATTTATGTGACTTTGTGTGCAAGTTTTACTCCATCTGTAATCTTGAAGGAAAGAGGCATACAAAAGATGGACCACAGAAATTTGTTTCCTCCAGAGACATGCATCCACAGCCACAGCAGGTATAGACTGAACATCCTAACCTACGAGTACAAGTTTATGGCAGATCACTGCAGAGCCACTAGACAATTTTTTTCACCCATTTTCACTACATTAAAATCTCTCTCTTATCACCCAGCTGAGGCAGTTAGTTGGAATCAGTGCCCTGTGAAGCAATTCGCGCCATTCTGTAAAAAATGAATAAGGACAAGCTTCATGGTGCATCATACTGCAGATTCAGCGAGTTTTAATGGTTACTCTATCCAGAGCTATCAATGCAATGCAAGTCAGCCAGAGGTGAGACTTTTTCTGTACAGCTGGAAAAAAGGTCATCATCATCACAATCATCATCCTCCTCTACTATATGAAACTGATACAAAGCTGAGCAAAATACAAATATAAAGGCATAAATTGGAAAAATCAACACTTTAGACTTCCCTCTTGAAAACCAGTGATGTGGCAGAGTATCGGCTCCTATTTTCTAAAATAAATTAGGAAACTGGTTAAATATCAGGACAGGCTTTGAAAAGGACGGTTTAATTTCCTAGCATTTATTCATCAGATGCCAAATTTTCTGCTGTGCTGTTAAGCAATTGCTGACATGGACACTTCAAAAGTGGTTTTCAAAACAGAAGTAATGGCACAGTGAGACTGAGCAAAACCAGAAAGTCTGTCACATGGAGATCTTATTCTAAACCACATCTAAACTCTAGTGCCCCCATTTATTTCAATGGTTTATTCTTTTGTGATGTTAAAACATTGCATGGCAAAAAAGCTCTACAAGAATAATCCTACACCAAATACTTTAACACTGTTCTACTACCATCCGTGGCTGCACTTTGTGGCTGCTTTACAATAAAGTTTCTTGAAGCAAGTGCAGCTGGTTTATCATTACAGTATCATTAAAGCAAATTTAGGAAACAAAATACTAATCACTGAAAATGAGCTGTAATTGCACTGGGGGCCATGGCACTAACCTATAACATAGGGCTCCAGTGCTTTGGGCACCAGGCTCCGTGCAACCTTCAGATCCTCTGGAGAACACTTCCCCACCTCCAAACCACAGGCCATACCCATACGTTTCAGCACTTCAATGTCATCGTGGATCTCAAACATGCTGTCGAAATTGAACAAATACTCAAACCTGCAGATGAGAAAGAGGAACAACAAGACAAATAAGGGTGAATCATGATTTTTTTTGAAAAAAGGTGTTCCAACTCCAACTTTAAGCTCCTTTGAATCAAAAACCCATTTCACTGTATTATAAATACAATATTCTATATTTTAGTACAATGTGCATTTCACTTGCCAACAGCCGTTAGACGCACTGAGATGAACAACATCTTCTCAGGAAACTGCATTTCTACCTTTATTGAGCTTATTCTGACAACCAAACTCAGCAAGATGCACTCAAGATTTTCCAAATTACTTTTGAAGGGGTAAACAGTTAATGATATAGTAGTAGCATATACAGCTGCAAGAAAAAGTAATGGTACCGTTTGTAATTTCCTGGTTTTCAGCATAAATTCATGAAATGTGATCTGAGCTTCACCAGTCACAAATATCAACATACACAGTATTTCTACACAGCCATGATCTTTCATGTCTTTATTAACATACAAAGTGATGGTGGAAAACGTAAATGGCAACACTAGGATTCTGATGTCACTGTCAACAGGAGTGAGGCATTAGCAAACCTGGAATCCAGTCAATGCAATGAAACGAGAATGGAGGTGTGGTTTAGAACTATCTTGACTTATAAAAACACAAACAGTGTCAGTGTGCTATTCAAAAGCAGCACCAGCTGATGTGAAATATGTCTCACAAAAAAAAAAAAAAGATCTCAGAAGGCCTATGATCAAAAGTTGTTTTGCATGTAGCTGGACAGGGTTACAGAGATATCTCAGAGATCTTGGTATTCATCAGTCCACAGTTAGACATATTGTTTATATATAGAGATGACTTGGTACTGTGACTACTTTGCCATTGTGGAGAGGAAAAATAATTTCCAAGCTTATCAAGGTATCCTGCAGGATAATGTCAGGGGGCTGTACACAAGCTGAAGCTCAGAACAAGTTGGGTGATGCAGCAGGACAATGACCCTAAACATCTAAGTAAATCTACTACAGTATGGCTCGGGGAGACATAGAATCCACCTTTTAGAGTGGCCCAGTCAGGGCTCAGAGTTCAACCCAATAGAGATGCTGTGGAATGAGCGTGACAGCTGTTCACACTGAGCTGAGGCAGTTCTGTGAGAAAGAATGGTCCAAAATTCTTCCTGAACATTGTGCAGGTCTAATCCACAGCTATAGGAATTGCTTGCTTGAGGTTATTACTGCCAAAGGTGATTCAACCAGTTAGATATACTGTTGCCATTACGTTTTTCCACCATCACTTTGCATTTTTAATGAGTGTGTTCAATAAAGACATGAAATACTGTGTTGATATGTGACTTTGGTGAAAATCAAAATCACAATTCATGACAAAATTTGTGCAGAAAACCAGGAAATTGCTAACAGTGCAATTACTTTCTCTTGCAACTATAATATCAAGAGGTTAAAATATTGGGTCATTTCACACATCACCATTCAAGCATTGACTTGATTCATGTTAATCCTTGACTTAACCTAAAATTAAGTGTCGAAAATGAAGTACAGCATAATCGCATACTTGTCATTAGAGATGCTGCAGTCAATGACAGTTTTCTTGCTGGTGTTGACAATAATAAAGGGAAGGTGGATGATGGAGTTGGGAGGTGGAGGTCTGTTTGCCTGCTGCTCTGTCTGTCTGTTCCGCTGAACCAGGTTTTTAAAAGCTATTTGCTATAAGACAAGAATAAAGATATGAGAAATATGAAGCAACTTCAGAAGGATTAACAGTTTGTCCAGTAGTGCCATGACCGTTTCTTGATGGGGCCGTATACTCCAGCTGAACAAATGCCAAACTTTGGACCAAGTAGAGAAGTACAAGTATTTCATTCCCACCTGCAGTATGAGCTCCTGAAGCTGTGACTGTTTCTGCTTAATCCTCTCCAGTCGCTTTTGTCTTTCCACCTACAATTAATATAAAGGAAAAATGATTAAGAATGAGAGCATAGGGTTGTCAAAGTAGACACCTCCAAAACAAACTAAATATAAGAATATCTTGGTTGATTGTTTCTACCTCTAGGTTTTGACACTCCTGGGCCGAGTTGGTGGGCAAGCCAATCCACTTGATTTCTTTTTTCTCTTTAGAGATAATGTTCATTGCCATGAGCACATTAAGTGCATCGTACACACGCCGACGAATGTTCTTCTGGTCATACACATGCTAAAAAGAAAATATTCAACATATTAACAAAACTTCTAAATTAATAAAAAGACAACTAAAATCTATACCCTTTTTCAGAGATGTCTATCATTTAGGTTTGCATCACTCTGATTAGCTGCAGCACTCACCGAGTCATTGGGTGACATATGGTTGTCTGAAGAGCTGAATTCTGCAACCAGTTCATCTGCAACTTCATTGTATGTGGTTACTCCTTTCTTCTGCACCTTCTCACACACTTTCATGGAAAAATGTCTCAAGCCCTTCCCATTCTTTTCCCCTTTCTTCCCACGCTTTCTACAGACAGAAAAGATTAGTTTTCACAATGACTGTCATGTCAAACTTATATTTTTTTCTTTATTTGAAATGATATCAGATTTGACATGATAAAAACACTTAATGTACAGAGTGATGTCCCATACTTGAAAATATGAGCACCTTCTGAAAACTTACCCCGATGACCAAGGAGAGGCATCAGATGGTTGACTCTGAGTGAGGAACTGGGAACTTGGTGTATGTGGACTGTTCACCAAAATGGTATTTGATACTGTAGGCCTCTGGGGTGTTCCAATCACCTACAAAGGACAGAAAAGCAAAAGGGAAAGAACATATCCATGCTTAGCATTTGCAGTAATCTAGTGACAGTTCTCTAAAATTTTATGTATTCTATCTCAAAATTTGATGATCATGTACTTAACACCTACTGAAAGTTTAATAATTGATGAAGTTTTACTGACGGGATTAAGTAAGATTTAGATGGAACCTATGGATGAGGCTCACTTTTAGCTGTCTTTATCAACTAATTAATTATTGGTCATGAACTTAGTTACAGAAATTGCTTCAATTTTCATTGCATTTTCCCATTAGTAATACAAGGTAACTAGCAGATTTGTGATCTGTTCCTTTACTAAGGTGATATTTAAGTTGATTTTCGTTATATACACATTCCATATGTATATAACAGGATGATGGGTGTAATCCTGCTGACGGTAGAGTTGATAAGCTTAGGATCAACTGCCTGCACCTACCCTCCACCCAGTCACCTCACAATGATAATGGAAGGGCTTACACAACACTAGGACACATCAGAGAAACCCAGCAAGCACATGTATCCACCAATGTCTCTGCAGGTCAGTGACAATCTAGAAACCTAAACTGTCTGTTCTGAAGTTCTAAACTCTCTTACAAATGTGGCTGAGAAAGCACAAAATGTTAAGCATTACTCACCATGTGTGGCAAATGTTGCATGTGTGCAGCAACATTCACATTGGATGGACCAAGGGTTTTGGGCAGTAGCTGTTTAGCCACAGGGGCAGCTGTAGGCTGGACAGTAACCAACGACAGGACACCTAAAAGGAGATCAGTAATGAATAGGGCTCTTGGCTTAAACTCCATTGCCCTCTATTGTCCAACTACCAGCACATAAATCAAATCAAACAAAACTCCAAAGCATGTTTTATCCAGAATAATGCAAATCAAAGGGCCAAGAGATGACTGACAGAGGACAAATAAGCATGAATATTAAAATCAACAGTTTAAACAAGACAATGAGACTCATGCACATAACAATTTAAATAACTATATACAGTCAGTATGGCAAGTTTTCCATATTGTTATGTTTCAGTTATCTTTAAAGCTGCATTAACCAACGTCTCTCTCTAATTTGAGCATTAAGGTCCCACCCCCCAAAAAAGACCTACAAATGGCTGTGCACCACCGCTCCCCATTCAACCTGGCTGACCTTATCCCATTAAGAATGGCAGAAAATTCCAAAAGTAAGGTGTCAAACTTGTAGCTTCATTAACAAGAAGACTAGAGGCTGTCATTGCTGCCAAAAATGCTTTAGTCAAGTACTAAGTGAAGGGTCTGACTACTTATGTAAATGGGATATTTCAGTCTTATTTTTAATAATTTAACAAAACACTCCAAAAACACGTTTTCACTTTGTTATGTGTAGATTGAGGAGAAAAAAAATAATTTAATCCATTTTTAAAAGTGAGGTCTGAAAACTTTCAATACCAACTGTATACACCCATAAATTGACACATGAAGAAACGTTTATTTTGTAAGCCTGGCAATCAATTAAGCTTGACTATGTAATGTAAAAAATACCACCCACTGTGTAAAATCTGCATGTAGAGCTAATTATAAATAACTAGTACCTTTGCTAGGGCTCAGATTCTGATCGATGAAAACTTTAAGCTCTCCATTTGTTTCAATCAGACCGGCCTGTGGAGAATAACAAATTAATACACTTCAACATTCTATACGAGTCTAGTTAAACAGGAATCATACAGAAAAAAAACATGACTTTATGAGAGATGTCTTTAGTTAGTTATATTAACATATAAGCCTTCATTCACAGCAGTTATAATGTCTTGTGTGCTGCCACATAAACAAAACTGTTTCCTGTAAAATGTAAATGTACAAATGTAGGTATATAGTTACTTACATCTTTAGCCATGATCCCAAAGGACCAGTGGAGTTGAGTTTCAGGGTAAAAAGTATTCTTCTCTTCCTCACTCTTCAGACTTAAAGACAAAAGAGGGCAAACTGTTACTTAAGGAGGGTTGTCTCCAATTTCATCAAAATCAATTTTTTACACATTATTTATTTTATATGCAATCAAGCTAGACTTAATAACGAAATAAGGCCCATTTGAGCTGGTTGCTGCCAGAGCACACTGTACAAAGCTACATTATTAACGTTAGCTTGAGTTACCAGGTGTTCTTATAGAAGGCAAACGAGATGCAAAATGTGCATATGTTAGACCAATTTCAAGTGTCTGAACCACTTAGATGTTTTATGAATTCATTGTGTATTTAGAACCCCGCATTAAATCATCCCTTGATGCTCACAACTTTTACTACGCTAAGTGTGCACAAGGCCTACTTCAGAAACCGAGCATGCCCGGAGGAGAGGCATAATCAAACATGCTACAGGTCACGCAAACATGCTAACTTTAATCACACCAGTGCAACTATTAACGTGACTAAATGATACTACCATATGGTTACACATATTACGGCTGCACGCAGTAGTAATAGCACTCATATTTGCCGACAGCAACAATCTTTTGTTGAATGGAGCTAGCTAACTGTTACTGCTAGCAGTTTACGACAGCGTTGTATTCATCTTACTTGCGTTAGCTAGCTAGTTAGCTTGTGCACGTTTTGAAAGGATTCACATTGAATTTAAACACTTATTGTTTCCGTACTGCAAATTCCAGACAGAGTTGAGCAAGGGTTAACGTTTAAGGAATTAGTGTGCATTTCGTACGATGAATAAAGTTAATATAGTGATTCTGTGCACTTACGAGTGCACTCTGTTTCTTCGACGGCTGTTGTTGTTGGCATTTGAGAATGGAGGAAGGAGGAGGTCTAAATCCCGTCCAAACAGGAAACAAACTAAGTAATGTCGAACTACTTTTCAACAATTCTATGCTTAATTTCAGTGACAAAATTTATCTTAAGTTGTATTAGTGGTATTGAGGTTATTCTTTTCTTGATCTTCCTCTCTTTTGCCATTATAAGTTGCAGTAAGTCAACCCAGGATTTCCCTGTTGTTGGTCGGTTAGGGAAACTGTATTAACAATTATCATTTTCAATTGAAAACCAAACAAATACAGCTAAGAAGCAAACATGAACAATAGGCTTTACTCTGACTTTTTATTATTTGAAACCCACACCCTAAATAATTCGCTACAACTTCTATCAACTTGTTTAAGTGTAACGTTAGTTAATTATGGTTTAATTCCATTTGTCGGGTTCTTACTTGTCACCTCTTCATCAGAACAGTGCCATTATCTTCCCGACGTTACATTCAGACACACCTAAACTATTTTTAAAATCAACAAATATTAAAGTACTTACATTATTCAAACTAGCCCGAACGTTTATTTTTGCATAACATATTGACCCTTCGATTAGTACCTTTGGCTTAATTGCCACAATGTAATTTATCGACCTAATAACATTTACTTTTACGTTTGAGAACAAGGATGTTTGTGTCGTTAAAATATGTGGAATAAAACGCAGTTGCGCAGCCGATGAACCAAGTACCGTTACGTAAATATGACCAATTAGTCATGCTCAACGTAGACCGTTATGTTAAACTAACTAAAAGCCCTGGTGATGACTACGTTATCGTTAGCTACTAAATTAGCAACTTACCAGCTTAATGTTTACGCCTGGAGTGCAAAACTAGTACTTAGCTAACTAGCAATGCCTACTGTTTATTTTAGCAACGAGCTAACTCGCTATAACGGCTGAAAAGCTTGAACGACCGGCGCTTTGTTAGCCAACTGGCGTTACGCTAAGCTAGCTACTAGCGAGCCGCCGAGTTCATCCACAGATGTCACCAACAACACTGCCAGAATTAGCTGCAATTTTACCACTGCTAACTTTGTTTGCTGGCAGTGTGTTTCACAGCACAACAATTACTTAGATACATTTGCAACGTAGAAAACTATCTTTTACGGCAGACTGATGGTAAACCACAAGTATAAATGTGTCTTACCGGTACACTTCACAAGCTAGCTAATTGTTTGTTAGCCGCTTGTATCTACTCTGCGTTAGCCCCACTCCAGCAGCGCGTCTCACAATCTGATCTTGGCGGTGTCTCGCTTTCGAAGCATCTGATTGGACTGCATCAATGGTACGAAAGCAAAACAGTTAAAGTAGTTCATGCCCACATCTCTTGGGATTGGTGGATACCAGCCAGCTTTAAATATATATATACCGCCATCTGCTGTACAGGAGTATGATAATAGTTTACTCCGGTACCTTTCAATAATCCCGTTTCTCTCAAGGTGACTATTGTTTCAGCCACGTTAGAAGTTGGTCTAGGATTCACTACATATGGATTAAACACAAATGAGTTCCTACCAGCACATTTTTGTAGTGTGTGTAAAGCACAATAAAACTTGAGCCTGTACCTATAAGCTATTACATTTGTCTTTTCAGGCCACAAACAGGTACTGTTAAGCTGAAACCGGGTGAGAGACTGGCTACCAGGTCGACAGTATAACACAGGTCTGACACATAAGAGAATCAGAATCAGAGTCTGCTTTATTGGTCAGGTATGTTGAACACAAGAGGAATTTGACTCTTGTCAAATTTGCAGGCTACCTTTGGTGCTGAGTCAAATATTACTGAGAGGCTGTGTTATATTGATGCATTGGATGGAATCAGAACCTATATGACCTCAATACAATAAAATCCTGGAGTGCAAAATGTGTTTTATCCCCATCTGCAGCAGTCACAACTTGAGACATTTGAAACAGAGAGAGTCTGATGTCATGTGTGAACTGCCATCAATCTCAACTGGATCTGATAGAAAATATAAAAGAAGCTAAGATTAAAGGTTTTAAAAGGAGAATACCCAGTTCTCTAAACTACCATGTTTAAAATTATGCACTGTATAACCACCATCACCCAATTCTCTGGGCCCTTAAATAACCAAAATGATGCTACAGTATATACAGCTCACCGCATTGTGTGTGTTACACTTTAAGTGTTTTACTGTTGCTGATATAAATCAGGTCAATAAAATAATAGAAGGTTTAAATTCCAGATACAGCAACAACACCACTACTATTTACAATCACTGTCATGTCTGTGAATAAGTTTAACAGCTTTATCAACAGTATTATGATAATGACTTCCATACTGCCCATTGTGAGTGCAAAGAGCAGGGGGTGCTACAGCAATTCAGGCTTTTTTCACTGACAACCAAACAAAAAAAAGGAAGGCTGGCATCCACAGATACTCTATCAACTACCGTGCTATATGTGTGTCGCGCTGAGTTTGTTGAGAAGGGTGGGTTCATTTTCATATTAGATAAAACTCATTTGAGCCTCTTGTCAGTCTGACATACTGATATATTATTTTTTATTTTTGCTGTAAGATAAGCACCTGTTGGGTTTTTCCTCATATGGGACTAACATTATTCATTGTGATTAGGACAGTGTGGTGGAGGAGGGTATACTTATTACAAATGCAGTATTTCATGGTGTTTTATTAGTCAGAGAGAGGGTTTGTAGAAGTAGGTGAAGGTTGAGGTTCTGTTTCATTTTAACAGTATATCAAAGCAAGTGTAGAAATCTCTCTGTCTCTCTCTTAGAGACACAGACTGACTTTAGTGGACATTTGCCTCTCATGATCCCTGCTGACATCATGCTTTTAAAAACCTCTTAATTGATAAGATTGTTAACAGGTTAATGGCTCCTAATTAGTGATTTATTAAATTCAGGTGGACTTGAATGGTCACACAGTCCATCTACGGTCTATACCGCTTATTCCTGAATGGGGTCATGGGGTCATGGGGTCATGGGGGGGCTGGAGCCAGTCCCAGCTGACATTGGGGAAGAGGCGGGGTACACCCAGGCAACATGCAAACTCTGCACAGAAAGGCACCGATTTGGCCAGGGGTCAAACCTGGAACCTTCTTGCTGTGAGGTGACAATGCTAACCACCGCTCCACTGTACTGCCCCAGTCACACAGTCAAACCTATAAATACAGTATATACTATGTTATCTGGTTTGCATGTTTTCCCTGTGCCTGCGTGGGTTCTCTCCAGGTACTCCAGATTCCTCCCACAGTCCAAAGACTTGTCTAATTACTGAGTCTAATTTTCAATAGAAATACAATATTATTTACAGGTAGTTTCAAATATTGGGTTATCTACTATGAACTAACAAATACACTCAGTTGGGCGTTTATTAAATACACATAAGTACATTTAATGCAGACTACAACAATCTGTCAATAAATCCTACAAAGATCATGTTTTCAGAGGTAATCCAACTTTATTGTTACTTTGGAGGCTGTAGTTTATAGTGTCACTAAATTACACTGAGATGTTTTTAATATCTAGTCTTCTCTTATTGATAAACACCTGCAGGTATAACCCATTATACAGATGGATGTTAAAATAAAGATACAACTAACAGTGAACAACATACCCCCTTTTAGTAAAGTCTCCAGAACAGCTTCAGTGGTCTTCTGCATGGAGGATGGAAATATTATTCTTTCATAACAAATTCCCTCATTGTGATGGACATACTTGTTTAAAAAAATACAATTTATTTAAGATAATCAGCAATTTACATGTGCTATTTTAATTAGTTACCTTTACAGAGTGCTCTTTCCTTTCCACTTAAACATAATTACATAACTCAAAATAAGACCTAGTGTGATTTCCAATTTAATAATCCCAGGTATAAAACAAATAAATAAACAAATAGATAAAACAAAAAACTAAAGCATGCAGGCATTTCAAAATAAAAATCCCCACTTCTTCCTAACTTTCTCAAATTTAAATTCTTGGTTCTATGGAGAAAGATTCTTTCCATTACAAAAGTGATACCATACCGTCCTCTACAGAGCACCTTTATGACACACTTTCATTCTCATTACACCATTCAGTAACCTAGAGGTGCAACCATAAGTCAATTCACTGAGAGAGTAACTTACAACATCGTTAATATGAGGAGTTTATGCTTTTCTTTGTCATGCATGATAATAAATGTAATATCTTTGGATTCGTTGGTTGGACAGAACAAGACATTTGAAGACACCACCTCTGACTCTAGAAAGTCAAAGTGAGCTTTTTTTCTCCAATTTGCACATTGTGTAAATAAAAAGATAAATCAAACAGTCACGAAAATAAGCGGTAGATTAATCCTTGACGACTGCAGTTGTTTTATTTCCACTAATTTAATTAGCATTTTCCTTTAGCTACTATGTCACCCATCTTTAGCCTATTTTTCAGGGTAGCTGCTGTAAACCTCCTCTTTGTACTGGAACCTGTAATAGCCATTGGACGACCTTCGCGCATGCGCACAATGAACGCTAGTCGGGCTACCAAACTGGTCAAACAGCGGGTGTGAAAATGGTAGGTAACCAAAATAAACACAAACCCAGGCACTAGCTTTAGTGCCATTAATTCTTACCTTCATGACTGATGACATATTATTAAAGTACATGCAATGGCGCGTTTTGGCAAGCCTACAGTGATCAGATACTCGTGTTCGTTGCTATTACATGGAAGGTCAGTTGATATTTTGAGAGCAGCTAGCTAGCTATGTCCCTTTTTGGCAGTCTGGTAAGTTCTGCTGTAGCAGGTCAGCCATCGGATCTCAAACACAGACACACACAGGGTCATTTATGTGAATTCCTGCCATGTCCTTAACCATACTGACAGTCTGATTCTGTGATACTATCCCCATCGTTAACGCAAATGATTCATTCCCGCTAACTTGGCTAACGTTAGCCAGTAGAAGTTACTAGCTGGTGGTTATGTAGACAATGCTAACGTAACGTTACCTGTTTGGGGACACAGTAATCCGTGCTGTCACTACGGCAGTCATTTGACTTCACGTGGCCATTATTAACAGAAATCAGTAACGGTTGGTGAAGTCATTAGAAGCTTGGTTTTAGTCTCCGGTTTCAGGAAATGCTCCTCTTCAGTGGAGTGCAAGTGCTGAGATACTGCAGCTGTTGTGAAGAGATGCCATAGTGGCTTCCACAGTGTAACGTTTATTAGGGCTGATATATGAGTCCATTTTCAGTTCTTCTATTTGTTTTTATAAAATTTATGAAAATAGTGACAAATGCCCATTACAGTTTGCCAGAGCCTTAAGCAATGGCCAAAATGAATCACAGTTTCAGGTTTCCAGAGTCCAAGGTGACATCTTCAAATGTTTTATCCGATCAAAAATCCAAAACCCAAAGACATTCAGGTTAGAGAAAACATTAAATACACACATTTGAATCGCCAAATGTTTAGCATTTTTACTTGATAGAGTGACTGAAACAATTGATGAATTAGTCCCTATCAGAATAGTTGCAGATCAATTCTCAGTTGACTGACTGATTGCTATAGTGTTAAGAAACCAAATATTATTGCTGTATTACAATTTAATATTACAGTATTCTGAAATGATTTTAACAGCTGTTGCCCAGTAAAATGTACACTACATGTTGCTTGTGAATCACTTCAGACTTGTTGCACCTCTAGTTCCTGTTGATGTCATCCCATTTGCCTACTCATGTTACATCTATGACTAGAGTTATCTAAGGGGCCTGCCAGGGGTACAGCATGTGCTTTGAGAATCCACAACATCTCCCTTCAGAAAAGCCTAGGTTGTGTTTGGACAGGACATAATTACCAGCAGACCGTCTTGACTTATCTCTTGTAACGTGTGTTTGTCTGTGTGACAGACTAACCTTTTAAAATATGTCTGAGTGTTTGAGCGTGTCCAAGTTGTTCCTGTCCTCTTCTCTGTTTCCTGAATGCCTGTAGATGTGTGTCTTGCTGTGTGTTTTTGTCTGTGTATGGCTCTGTGTTTGTATGTTGTTGGCTTTATTCCCTGGTCTGGTCACACCGGTGTCTGACAGCCCGTGTCCTGTACTCACACAGCATAAGCTGAAGTCTTCACAGAGGGACAAGGTACGGCAGTTCATGTCCTTCACACAGGCTGGGGAGAAGACAGCTGTGTACTGCCTCACACAGAATGACTGGAAATTAGAAGTTGCTACCGACAACTACTTCCAGAACCCAGATCTTTACTGTAAGGAATCCATGAAAACCTCAGTAGACCGAAAAAAGCTGGAGCAGCTCTACAATCGCTACAAAGGTAAATGGGGTAACTTACTGTGTCTTATACTGTAAATTGAAGTATTTACTAGAATAGAGTTGCTCCAAAAGCAACAGTATTCTTTAAAAGTATAGACTACTACTTGTTTCCCAAAAGTGTGAGTTTTATTTTATTTTTTTTTTCTGATAGATCCCCAGGATGAGAATAAAATTGGTATCGATGGAATCCAGCAGTTTTGTGATGACCTGTCGCTAGATCCAGCCAGCATCACTGTGCTCGTCGTTGCGTGGAAGTTTCGTGCCGCTACTCAGTGTGAGTTCACCAAGAAGGAGTTTCTGGATGGAATGACAGAGCTGGGGTGAGTGTGCGACATAAACACTGTGCCTGAAGTATCTTCGCATGGTGGTTTTCTTAGTGTAGCTCCAGGGAGGGAAGGCAGTCTATATATAGACTCACTCAACCACAGCTCAAGTAGTCTGTGTCTTCGTGGAAGGACTCAATGGAAGAGCTGCAGTTTTTGACTTCTGAGCTTCATGAGTCAGTTAACTTCAGCCAGTTCTTTATCAGCATCAACACCACCATGTTGCAACTGGTTGGGGAAACCCTGTGTGGTCATTTAGAGTTTATTTGTTGCTTACATTGTCTCTTTTTCAAGGTGTGACAGCCCCGAAAAACTGAAGGCCCTTTTGCCAAGATTAGAACAGGAGCTAAAAGATAGTGGAAAATTCAAGGACTTCTACCAGTTCACCTTTAACTTTGCCAAAAATCCTGGACAGAAGGGTCTAGGTAAGCCGAGTGACAGTAAAAAAACAGCTTGCTCCATGATCAACTAGAGTTGACTGTATTCTTCTTTGTGTTTGTGTGCAGACTTGGAGATGGCTGTAGCCTACTGGAACTTGGTTCTGTCAGGACGATTTAAGTTCCTTGATCTTTGGAATAGATTCCTTTTGGTGAGTCAAAAAAAGGATGCACAAATCAAATGTGTTGAATTGGGATCTGTGCTGGGTTTTGGCCACGACATGATTGATCCACATCAAATGAGTTACTTCATCGAGGTGAAATGTCTTTGTTTGTGCTTTTAGTGACATTCATTGAGTCATGGGAGGCTGCTTACTGAGTTACTTTATGACCATAGCGATCCATGGCCTCATGTTACCCTACGTAAAAACAATAGCCTCTTTTACAGAGAGATTCAGTTATATGGGTGTTAACCTGGCCCATCTTTGTAGTAGCTTTATGTATTTACACTGAACTTAAAGACTGGCTGTAACACACGCTGAAAATACACAGCACACCCTTAACAATGTTGCTTTCAAACCGACAATACCAGATGAATGCAGTGGCGATGTGCTTTTGCTCATTTGCCGCATCATTCAGACTCAAAAGTTGTTGTGCACAATGTACAACTTGTTCATGATTATGGCCATTACGGTTTTTTGTGAGCAATGTCAAAATTTAAATGCTGCAGAGACATCATACACATCATACAGATATGGTGCCTGACTTATTAAGATAAGTGAGGCACCATATCTGCCTCACTTATCTTGTATTTGTAGAAACAACATCAAAACTTTATACAGCTTCTCCCACAACTCAGGCCGCCTCTCCCCTTTTGCACAGAGGCTGAGGTGCCTCTCACGGCGGAATAGAGGAGGGTAAACACTTGGTACTTTTTATACAGAATGGCTTGGTGGAAAAATGGCACAATAATCCTGCCTTGAATATGCGATTTAAAGGGGGCTAGTGACAACAAGTTCCATGATGTGAAGTATGCAGAATTGAACTTTGGGGGACAGTGAGAGCACTGGTACTTGAAATTGCTAGATATGCTGAGATGAGGCACTGGAATCGGTATTACAAGAGAAAAAGCTGGATCACAAGGAGCCTGTACCATAGAAGGGTTAGAGTGTTTTTCATTACACCTCCCTCATGTGCACAACCTGAATCAAGGAGCAGGACCAGCTGGCCACACCAGATACTGTTTGGATGAATAAAAACCTGCTCTACTCCTGGATGTCCAGAACACATACTGGGCCACTTGTCCGTCCGTGATTTCCACTGCAATGTATTTGAAATAACTGTCAGCATATTTTGGCTATAGAGAGAGAACAAATGAAAAACAAGATTTATGAAACCATGCATTTATGAATATGTTCACCTGCACTATCCATTACAGGAACACCATAAACGATCCATCCCAAAGGACACATGGAACCTATTGTTGGACTTTGGTAACATGATTGCAGATGACATGTCAAACTATGATGAAGAAGGTGAGTTTGGAAAAATGGATAAAAATTCCTTCAGATGAATCACTGGTCCATCACTGTGACACTGATGGTATCTTGGTATCTCTTTCTCAGGTGCATGGCCAGTCCTTATAGACGATTTTGTGGAATTTGCTCGACCAATTGTAACAGGATCAAAACGTAAAACTCTCTAAATCCAATCCCAACTCTGGAAAGCCAGAATGTTTTCTTTTACACTGACTTAATAGTTTTTTTTAAGACTTGTACAAAAAAGTGAAAATTGTAGACTTCAGAGAGAAAACAGAAGCAAAGCAGGAAACCACCTTTCAGAGAGCTGAGTAAAAACAATGAGAACAACTGGCCACATGTTCTGTCCTCATGAAACTGAGGCATCATATGGACATTGCCAGATTCACCTCTGTCTCTCCTGTTGGATGCTCAGTATCCTGGACGCCCCACTGCTCTTTTCCAGGAGCACTACATGTCGGGCCACAGCCCTGTAAGTGGGGATGGACACAGCACCGAGAGCAGGTTCACTGCCTGTGTGCGCTCTAAATGGACTGGACAGCAGAAAGCAGTGTGTTTTAAGATTCTTCCTAGTCAAGTTTGTTTTGTTATATGAAGCTCTGAGTGATTGTGCAGAGTTCCCGAACTTTGGGACAGAGTGCTTGCTACACCAGCACCAACAGAACTGTTGCAGTTTTTACTGTACATACTGTATCTATTGGGACAGTTTACAAAGAGAGCTATATGAAGAATAATATAAATATGTTGAATTTATAAATGCAAAAGCTGATTTCTTTTATGTACAGGAAATACTAAGATCTCTAACAGCTGCCTCAGTATTGTGGATGATACGCTGTTGGTTTAATTGTTAGGTGCATCTGTCCAGTCACAGAATCGTGAGCTTCTCATTGACCGCATGGTAAACTCATTTTATTTCACTAGGGGCTGGTTTCACAATTAAACTGTCACTAAAGTAAAAGCAGTGCTTTGATTTCGATGGCTGATATTGATTCATGGTGTTCATATGTCTGTAGAGTCCCAGCTGGGAGTTGGTCCTATTCACAGAACCATGGTTTTGCTTTCAAAAGATAATGTATTAATTGAAAGTGTCAGCTGATTCTGCAGCAATTTAAGAGAATTTAAATTAAGAAATTCCAGGCCCTTAGGATTGCATGCCACATATCTGTATGTTATGGCATTGTGAAGCCCTTAGTTCAAAAGTCAGGACACTTATGAGGGGAACAACAGGACAACAAACAAACAACAAACAGCCTTAAGAATAAATACCTGTCTCTTCTCTATTTTCTGTTCAAGTCCATCTGTTCAGTGTTACTGAAGGTAGTGAAAATTAGAATATGTTGTTGATACATCATGTAAGTAGCCTAAGTTTATTGTTCATTTAAGAAAGATGAATAAAGCATGAGTTTTTCCATAATCGTACATGTATTTAGTTCTTTTGTTGTTGATAGGTAATGGACACATTTTATATCATGCTACAGCTGCTCAAACAACAACATGTGTAATAGAATGAAAGGATGCAAAGACAACTGTTTACTTTTTACACTTTGACATCTCAGTAGGAGAAGCAAAGGTGTAAATAATCTAATGATGGCTCAATTTCATTTAGTGGATCCTGATATTGTTCATGTTGGTTTACTGTCACTGGGACACTTTAATGTTGCTAGTAACACCTGTACTATACCTACTATGACAAGTATATACCCTATCCTATATACTGTATACTCTATTCCATGTGCTTTATAGGAATTGTCACAATTTCGGTTCCAACGTGGGACCGTTTTCTTTGCTGCAAGGCAACATAAAACTATAAAAATACATTAAGACAAGTGATTACAGTAAGCCTGTGTGAACAGCCAAGACGCAGTTTGAGAACTTGGACCAAAATCTCAGAAACCTGTATCTGACCACAAGAGAGGATGGTCCTTTGGCAATGATTTTGGCTTGGTGGGGAAAAAAACACAGCTCATGAGTTTATTAAACTTTGTCAATGATATGCATTTAATTATTCTTTATTACTTTACAGTGTAACAGATTAGAGATGCTGCATGCTGTTGATTTGATCAGGTTTTCTGTAGTTGTACAGTTATAAAGCTTAACAAGGCTTTTTTAATGCTAAAAATTAAAAACAGGTCAAGTGAGTCTTAAATTGTCTAATACCAATTCTTACTGCTTGTAGTCAGCGAGCCGTCCCTGGTAGGCTAGTGGTTAAGGTGCAGCACTCTCGCCGCTGCACCCCGGGTTTGAATCGGGGTTGTGTCAGGAAGGGCATCTGGCATAAAACACGTGCCAAATGTCAACATGCGAGTCGTCAGTGTGACAATTCACTGTGGCGACCCCTAAACGGGAAAAGCCGAAATTGACTTTTTCACTGCTTGTAATCAGCAACAAAAAAGGTTTTTTCCCAAAATATGACTCAATAAAATTAATTCTTACTATGTTGTATAGCATTCAGAATGACAAGAAAATATGGAGAAAGAATGGGTTGTAAACTCTCAGAAAAGGAAGCCTTTGAGGTATTGTCTCCTATACAGTGGTGGAAGAAGTACTCAAAGCCCTACCTTAAGTAAAAGTACAGTAGCAGTACAACTGTGTAAAATACTCTGTTACAAGCAAAAGTCCTGCATTCAAAATGTTACTTAGGAAAAGTACAAAAGTATTAGCATCAAAATATAAGTACTCATTATGCAGAAAGGTACATTTAGCATTAATGTAAATCATATTAGATTACAAATACTGAAGCATTATTATGTTCGTTGTTATTATAATATAAAACTAACACTATAACTAACTGTTGTAATTAATCTTGCAACTGGAAAAGGTAGAGCTAATTAAATGTATATGCTTATATTGCTGATATATTGCTGGGTAGCTTGTGAATTTTCCACCAAAGATCAATAGTCATATGATTATAGTGTACTTTTTGAATTAATCTGGTAATGAAGTGTAACTAGTAAGTAAAGTTATAAAACACATGTAGTGAAAAGGTGCACTATTTGCCCCTAAAATGTAGTGAAGTTGGAGTATGAAGTAACACAAATTGAAAATACTCAGGTAAAGTACAGATGCTTAAGAATTGTATTTAAGCAGAGTATTTGAGTAAATGTACTTAGTTATTTTCCACCATTGCTCCTATATTGTCTCTTGGAATTTGGAATTAGAGCAAAAATCTCAGGAGGAGTTTACATTCTTCAGTTTTATATACCGGTACATACACCTTCAATCTGACAATTTTTTAGGCAAACAAAACATGCAATAGCAAGTTGGGTAATAATTCTTTGTGGGGTCAGAATATGTTTAGACAGTTAAGGAATTTTTTTTTTTTTGGTAGACAGTCGTACTGTAATTTTATTATGGGGGAATTTTGACTTGTGACTATAGTTTTTCCTAAAAATAATGGTTCTAACTCTGCTGGGAAATAATATTTTACTATCCAAGGGACAAACTGTGCAACTGCTACTGCTTCTGTTATTACCACTACTATTGCTACTGCTGCCAATACTAGCCATCATGGACTGTGTAAGATGATATAAGAGCACACATTGCTGTTTGTCTTCCTCCAATTGTATTGCATGCAAAGCACACACCTGTGGATGTTACCTGGGTGTTTCTTTAACAGGCCCCTCCCTCTTGCTGTAAGTGCTGTAAAGTGAGACATTTGACACTCAGACCACTTTTTTATTTACCTTGACAGCAGCAGGTTCTTTTTCAAGTAAAAGTAAACTCCATAAAAATTAATTAACATTGGCGGTGCAGTTTGTTTATAGCCTAGGTGGACTAGTGTAGCATATGACACGCAATGAATAGGGAAATGGAAGCTACTGCCGCTCAGCTAGGCAGTGGAAGGTAAGTTTCATGTTGATGTGGTCTCTCTTTGACTGCTTGTTTCTTTTACAGAGTTTTTAGGTATTATTAGATGTATTGTATTGTTGCTTCATTCCTGGCTACCAGAAATTTACACCAGCTCCTTTCCTCATCAACTAGTTGTATTTGTGCTCAATGTTGTAACCTGTGAAACTGCTACCACACTTATCAAAGTTTTTGTAGCTAAATTTTGTGGAACAAATTATTTTATAGGTTATTTTTGGGCTTCAGTTTTGCTGCTTGCTCCTACTCCTGCTTCAAAGTCATTTAAAATGTATTAGTCATCCAGCTTGGGAATTTGATCTCCCTGCTACTGAAACCCTGCCCATTGGAGGTTGTTGTAGTGTCTGTCATCAGGGAACAGGATAGAGACTGATGGGCAGGGTGGAAACTTTGCCCTTTTGTTTATGCCACTGAACTGTGTGGATTTGCCCAAGTAGGATTGACCCCTATGGCTTTGAGAGACACCATGACTTTGAACCCTACAAGGAGATGATGAATGAGTATATAGCCGTCCTCAACAGAAGATCCATGAGATGGTCCAAGCTCCTTCAAGGCAAACCTCATGTAGAGAACAATTTCAGAGGTACAAGATGCACAATGAAACACACAACTGTTTTGTGTTGGTGTCTCCTGGTGCTCTATAGTTATTTAATTATCAATTCTGTTTTGGAAGTGAAGAGGTTTGTACGTAAAGGTGTGCCCAATGAGCATCGTGCCAGGATCTGGATGGCAGCTAGTGGTGCCCAGGAACAACTGGAGACTAAGCCGGGTTATTACCAATCTCTGCTGGTTATTGAGCATGACACCAAGCTGAAGGAAACCATTCACACAGGTATCACAAGAGGCTTTTTACACAGCAGACAGTTTGATATGTCATAGGAAAAGTACAGGTGTGAATAATAAAACTGAGGATGCTTCAGTTGCAGGGTCTTGGTAGTGTGCATGCTGGCGTTGTCACACTGCCACTTGAACAGAACAGTGTCATCATTAATGTTATTAACATCTGTACCTATCTTTGAAAAGGGCCTATATTGTCTCTACATCCTTCTACAGTTCACTACTCCCCTTTATAAAAACATCCATCTCGACTTATAGTAACACTCACAGTAAGCTCAACTATTGTACTGTACAATTCATGTTTGTTTTGGCAGATATGCACAGGACCTTTCCAGATAACATCCTCTTCAAGAGCAAAACAGAGCCGGGCCTGCAGAAGGCTCTGTACAATGTGCTGCTGGCCTATGGACACCACAATAAGGCAGTTGGATACTGTCAGGTGAGGAAGCTGCTGTCACACATAAGGGTTGGCCACCCTGTATCATAACATAACACCTGTTTACCTAAAGAATAGGACTGGCAAGTTCTTTATTCAGTGGAGTACATGGGTGGCATTATCATAACATCCTGTACCATGGTCACTAATCCCTGTTAGTTCCCTATTAAACAGTTAGTCAAAGTCATACTTTGATATATACTGTAGTCACAGCTTTAAGCTCAAAATGCAGCATGAGACTCCAATTTTGGATTAAATAAGGATAGAATTTCATATTTCCTACCTGGACATCTGTTCTTGCTCTGGGGCCTCCAGTACACCACACATAGTTACATTTTCTCTGTCCCTGTTTATTCCAGGGCATGAACTTCATTGCAGGATACCTCATCATCATCACCAAAGATGAAGAAAAATCTTTCTGGCTCATGGATGCATTATTAGGCAGAATACTCCCAGGTATGCGTCTTTTTATTCCTCAAGTACACAGTTAAAGTCCCTTCACACCTGCACAGGTGGTTTCAATTACTCTGGCTGATTAGAGGTCAGCTCAGGGTGAAGGTGGACCTGGCTATGCTAAGAATTACAAGAGATAGTCATCTGTGCGGATGAACCAAGGGTGTAGAGGGTCTTCAGTCAAACTTTATTTGTATGACATGTAAATATATACTGGTGAAACATCAGTGATGTGGATATTTAAAGGCATAAAAACACTAAAGTTAATAATATAGTCAGTTAATGTAGCAGTCTTCAGAGAGAAGAAGCAAAACGTCTGCAAGCTCTTCCAAGGACACCATTTTCCAACATAAAATTTGTGAAAGTAGATTGTTAAAATTATAAACAAGTTTAATGTCTATTTTAAAGTTAACTGGATGAATTAAAATTAAGTGTTGACTGTTGAGACGGGGGCGCCATTCTGGAGGTATGCATTGTATTTCCCTGCATATGTTGTTGTTTTGTTTGGCTAAAAAGTTGCTGAAATAGTTTACATTTCGCTTTACTGACTGTGGTAGTTCAAGGTGGATAATCTTAGCTGACTGTAGCTAACTCAGAGTGGACCTAGAGATCCCATGAACAAGAGCAACAGACTGAAAAATGACTGCACGCTGATCTGAGCTCTCAGTTTTGGGGTCTAATGCTAGCTAGCAGCTGTCAGGAGATAACAAACACTGCTGATTAATCAATTTCTGTCCTGTCTGTGCTCAAACTGAACACTAGAGTGTACATTTGGATGTGGCTGAAGCATCTGCTACTGTATGTAGCTGTATGGGATAGCACTTAGATGTATGTAATGTATATGAACGTGATGCTCCAAGCATGGTGCATTTTTCAACATCACATTAAAAAAATTCTAGTTTTAGTTTATCTTTTTGGGGCAGAACTAAGATCAGTACAGTAGTGTTTATAAGGGTAAGAAAGACAAGATATTATTAGGAGAGACTACATATTGTTGAAGAGTGGACATATCTAAATGTATGTGCCTGTTTTTCTTCTTTACTTCTCTGAACTACCAACTGTTTGTGTCTTGTCACAGCTCACTTCGAGCAGGGTATCTGGTTTTTAAGGTAATCAAGGGAGCTAAACAATTTAAAGTAACAACTATATAGAGTTATAATATCATCTACACAGCAATGCTCATGATGACTAGTAATACAAAAGACTAGTGGACCCAGGTGTGACCCTTGTGGCATGTAACATTTATTCTCACATGAACGTCTGGAGTATAACAGGAGAAACATTTAGAGTTGTTGGTAGAGCTTGATTGGGCGACCAACATGTGTCGCTACTGCACGCAGATAAAAAAAATAACTAAACGCTGGATGTTGTAGACTACTACAGCCCGGCCATGTTGGGGCTGAAGACTGACCAGGAGGTTCTTGGGGAGCTGGTGAAGACTAAAGCCCCTGCAGTGGGTCAGCTCATGGCCCAGTATCCTGGCATATGGACCCTAGTGGTGTCACGCTGGTTCATCTGCCTCTACATTGACATACTCCCAATTGAGGTGAGAATTTAAAATGAGGATGGTGTTGAAGCACATAATTTCTGTCTTCATCTTTCTTGTTTCTTGTATTGCAGACAGTTCTGCGGATCTGGGATTGTCTTTTCTACGAAGGCTCCAAGGTTCTTTTTCGTGTTGCTCTGACGCTCATCATCCACCACCAGCCGGAGATCCTCAGAGCTCGGTCTTTGCCCGACGTGTGCCAGTGCTTCAAAGACATCACCAGTGGATCTTTCACTCTGGACTGCCACACCTTCATGCAGGTGAGATGGGTCAGTCAGAGAAATTAAAAACTATTCCCACTGAAGTCCTTAGGCATTACCAAAATGATAAGGTAATCTGTGTATATGCTTCAAACCTCAGAACTTTTGTAACATCAGCTTCAGCTTTGTAATAGATTGTCCCAAAGCAAGTCTTTTAGGGCTGCACTTTTTGATGAGCCTGTTGAATAATTTAATAATTTTGTTTAAAATGTCAGAAACTACTTCATGTTGGAACGAATACATTTTAATTCATAAAATAATTAAATGGTTGATCAATAATTCCAATTAATCTGTTGATAGACTATTTCAGTTCTAGAGGGCTTTTTATTACTTATGCACTGCTGTGCCTTTTTAAAGAAGGGCTTTTAATTTATCTGCTAGTGGTAGAAAATACTCAGATGACAAATCACACATTTGCCTGGAGGCAAATTTGCTTCAATTTGCCTCCAGGCTCTGATGTAACATGAAGAAAAACTGGTAAATCTTTTCCAGGAATCATTTTGACTTAACTTTGTTGGGTTACCTTGGGTAAAGGAGAATATACTGTATGTTCCAAAAATACAAAAAGGTGTTGACAAGACACATTTAACCCAGGATTACTGAACTTTTTTTTTTTTAATTACTCTGAGGAAACTAAAGTCTCGCTGTAAACACAACTTGGATGATGCATAGTTCTCTAAAGGAATCATGTGGTGACACCGGCAAACTCTTTTCCTGCAGAAAATCTTTGAGGAACCTGGAAGTCTCTCTAAGGCAACTATTGAGAAGCTGAGAGAGAAATGCAGACGACAAATAATGGAGGAAGAATCTGGACATCCATGAGGATTTGGATTGTTTTTTCCATTTACTCTCAGGAACTTTGTCCTATTATTAAATTAACATGCTGGTGGCTTTATATAAGTTGGTATATTAACTCTAATCCTGCACATATGAAGGACATGCTGAAGCTTCTTTACTGATGTCAAAAATGTTTAACTGTCATTTGGCAATGTCCCATCTTGTTCCAAATATTTTTGCTACTTCAAGATCACCATACTTGGTGCTTTAACACTTTTTAAATCTGCCATAGGACTGATGGGATTTGTGATCAACCACAACTGGACAAAAAACAAAACAAAAAAAAACCTACTGTTTTCTGAGCTCAGACAAATGCTTGCTGATCTCCGTTGTCCTAGTTAGAAACAATTTACAAGTGAGAACTGGAGACCTGTTGATATGGAAGGTAATTTTCATTCCTTTCTTCACTAAAATCACCTCAGGGCTGCAGGGGCAGGTTCAGAACCCAGCCCCTGCAGACCTATGACACTACAGTGGGTTTATACTCACATCTAAAGTGCTGGTTCTTGTTAGTAAACTGTACCTGATAACATGGTTCATTCAGTTTGATTAACTAATGCTAAACTAAACTGTTTAATATGAAATAAACTATGGACAAATGACAGGCTGTCTTTGTGGATGTTAGCATCTTCTTTGTGTTACTTCACAAATTAGTATAAACTGCTTGGGCTTGGCAACAAGCCAGTGCCACCCCAGAAATCAAGAGCATAGACTGATGTAAAACATTTCCTGGTTTTATTCAAGATACTTAGCAAACATGCTGCATGTAACAGGCCCATTCTGTCATACACATTTGACAGCCTTCCTCTGCCCTGCATTTAAAGTCAGATACACTGTTGAAGAGGAAAGAAAAAGGGAAATTCTTACCCATTAAAAGTTTTAATTTAGTCTTTGATACATGAGGGGATAATGCATTTCCAAAGCTCTCCAATTACTAATCAAAACTAGTTTGAAAGCAGAGGAACTCAAGGAGTGAAATGGCCTCATCTGTTCACCTTTAGAAAAGTCCAGTAATTCAAATTTTTTTTGGGGGGGGAATCTGTACTCTTACATGAAACAATGCATATTAGTGGCAATAACAGTACATGAAGGCTATTTGACATCTCTTATAACACACAGGGTCATTAGCTTTACTTGAATCTCATGTACATGTTACAGCTGAAAGACACTGATGAACATGGACCATTAGTCACTAGATGGGACCGTTTCAGGATTTTAGTGCAACTTCATTTCCTTTAGAAACCGGACTCCCAGATGAGGAAAAAAAGTTTCTGCAGTGATGTCCTGAGCTCCTCTTACTTTTAAGACTGTTTAAACTAATTTTGGCATTAATTTTGTAAGAGCAGAATCCAAAGGAACTACCGACATTACATTGGGAAAGGCACTTTGCTTTTGTGCAAAGTTAATACAATTTGTCTGCACAGTGAATATGAAGCTACAGCCAAGAGACATTAGGTTTA